TATAATAAATAGAATAACATGAAAAAATAAAAATAAATATCAAAAAAATACATATTTCAACAATATATTTTCTATACCTTTTGGTAATGCAGCAAATTTTTTTACTTCTTCATTTTTATGCACCCGTTCTAGATGCCTACTTATCTTTGATTGCATTTTCTTGCAATAATAACAAAAATTTTGTTTTCCTGTACCTTTAGGATTTGAACATTTAACTTGTAAATTTGTATCATCACAGATTTCTTGTCCAGAAACATTTAATGAAGTTTCTAAACTACTTCCTGTAACGTTATTAGATTCTATTGGACATGATTGTACAGACATATTATTCTCCTCATCAGAATCTTCTAAATCTGAATAGCAATAATCAGGATCTATATCTATATTATCATTGCTACAGTCACTGCTACTATCAGGAGAATGATTTACATTAGAAAATGCTTTATGAAACAGTTTCAAGTTCTTATTAGTATCTTGCATCAGGTTTGCTTCATATGTACTATTATTATTTACTTCATTTCTATTATTATTTTGAGTTTCCATATTATCACTATCCTTGTAACTGCATGAGTCATCAAGATTATTATTAAGCATATTAATTTCGTCTGTATTCCAATTTACTATCCAAAGATTCCATCCAAACCAATTTTCTATCCAAAGATACGTCTAAATGATTCAGTTCGTCAATTGAAATTATTTGATCAAGACTGTATTCTAATGTAGAATTATTAGTATTCGTTTCAGATGGAGTAAGTATATTATTATATTTTTTTTTTTTTACGTGTGGAAATGCGCGACCGCATACCCGCCACCTCGGGGGAGGTGGACAGGTTATGTGGGGCTGGGATCCACGCCTCCGGGACTCAAATGTATCCCGGGGACTCCCCCGACCCACTAAAACCACACGGGTTGCCTACCATTGGCCTGTCAGAGGATGTCCCCGTTGCGATAAGCATTTGGGGGAACACCCTTGGCCTTGGGGTGCCGTCTGTTCATGGCGGCACCCCGATTCTCGAGGTGGGGAGAAGTTATTCTCATCCCCACCTCCGCGGTGTGTTGGGAAACCACCCCACCGGCACACCGACCTAACGACAGGGGTCGGAATGAGGGCCGGACCCCCGTCCGGACACCTCACCCCCCCCGTGATTTGTTGGAGGAGGCCTCTGGTGTTAGACCACCTCCCGCACGGGGGGGGGAGCATTTCTGCTCATGGGTGAGGGGCTACACAAGGTCCCCACCCGTCGATCATCTATGTGCTGGAGGGGAGATATGCGTGACATCTCCCCTCCGCACTCCCTCCTTCTCTCTCGCAGATGTCCGGGAGGGGGAAAAAACATCCTCCCCCCCAGACTTGCGCCACCTACCAACTGCGGCGACGGGCCAATCTCCCCTCAGCCGAAAGGGACGAGGTGACCCGCCGCCGCACACCCGGCACGCACGCGCAAGGAGCAAGGCCCCCGGCGCTACATCCGTGTCCGAATTGCGGGGGGGGGATCAGTTAGGGTGCCCTGAAAGAGGGCTGGCCCTAACTCCCCCCCCGCCCGTCTCATCCGGGTCTCAACGAGGCTCGGGATAGCGGGAGACCCCCGGGGGGGGGCCCTTGCGCGACTCCTCCCATGGGGGCCGGTCAACACCGGCCCCCATGGGAGGAGCAATCTCCAGCCCCCGCGATTGCCACCCTCGGGGCCGCCGCCGCCCGCCCATCCGAAGATGGGCCGAACGACGACGGGGGATCCAGGAGCGGCATGGGGCCGAGACGCCTCTTACGAGGGCGTCTGGGACCATGTGTGGGGTCTCCCGCCATCTCTCTCTCTCTCTCTCTCTCTCTCTCTCTCTCTCTCTCTCTCTCTCTCTCTCTCTCTCTCTCCGCAGCCGCCTTGCTGCCCATGACACGGAAGGAGAAGTGGCAGAAGGCCTGCCACTTCTTCTCCCTCTCCTCACCCTCACCGGCTATCGCATCAACGATAGCCGGTATCGTGAGGTACCCTACCCGCAACTCCGCCCGGAGCTCGCGTCGCTCCTCCGCCCAGGCGGGGCACTCTTGCAGTGTATGAGCGACGGAGTCCGGCGCGGAGTTGCACGCGCGACACGTTGGTGCGGACTCGCAACCGATCCGGAACAGATACTCTCCGAAGCAACCATGTCCGGAGAGTATCTGTGACATCTCGTAAGTGAGACCACGGCTGCCGTCCATCCATCTATCGAAGACGGGTTGGACGGCCCTGACGATCTCCAAGTGGCCGTAATCGGCCAGTTGGCGTTGCCACTGCGCCATTAGAGACCGCCAGGCTTGGAACCTGGCCACCTCGACTTCGCGGTCCAATTCCTCGGAGGCCCCTTTGGGTACCCCCCGGCGGATCTCCTTTGTACGTCGGTACAATTTGGAGTACATCTCCGCCAGAAGGTTCAGTGGTGGGACCCCCGCGAGGATATGCGCCGCCATGGCGAATACGGTACGGTAACAGCGCGCGATCCTCTGTTCCGCGCGCCGCTCCATCTGCAGGAGGACTCTCCTGTTGTGCGGCGACGCGCGAAGGTCGCGCGCCCACACCGGGGCCCCGTAAAGGGCCATGCTCCGTATCACGCCTAGGTATAGACGGCGCACCGCGTGCTTGGGACCCCCCCTTGTTGGGGAGCACTCGGCCCAACGCCAAAGATGCTCCCTGTATACGGGGGGTCATTTCGTCGAGGTGGCTTCTAAATGCCCAAGAGCCATCCAGGAAGAGGCCGAGATATCGCATCTTGGCCCCTGTCCTGATATGAATGGTCTCACTTAGCCGGATCGTCGTCACCGGGCCTGGGACCCGTCGCCTAGGCGAGTATATCATTATATACAGGGTGTCCCATTTAACTTGAGACAACTAAATATTTCGAAAAATAAGCATTGTACGAAAAAATGTCCCAAATAAACTTTTAACATTATCAAGGGGGACGTCTGCCTGTGTAAAAATTAACCCACCCTTACCGCCCCTTAAGGGTGGGGCGGGTGTCAACTTTGAAATTTCAAATGGGAACCCCCATTTTTTATTGCAGATTCGGATTCCTTGGAAAAAAATACGTAAGTTTTGTCCGAGACATTTTTTCGAATCGTGATAGATGTAATCAGTAAAAATTAGTTTTTGCCATTTTCTCTCACCATCGGGGTGAATTTATTTCGGTGAGTCCCCTCGCCCCTCACCATCGGGGTGCTTTTATTTCGGTGAGTCCCCTTGCCTCTCACCATCAGGGTGCTTTATTTCGGTGAGTCCCCTCGCCTCTCACCATCGGGTGCTTTATTTCGGTGAGTTCCCTCGCCTCTCACCATCGGGGTGCTTTATTTCGGTGAGTCCCCTCGCCTCTCACCATCGGGGTGCTTTTATTTCGGTGAGTCCCCTCGCCTCTCACCATCGGGGTGCTTTATTTCGGTGAGTCCCCTCGCCTCTCACCATCGGGGTGCTTTATTTCGGTGAGTTCCCTCGCCTCTCACCATCGGGGTGCTTTATTTCGGTGAGTCCCTTCGCCTCTCACCATCGGGGTGCTTTTATTTCGGTGAGTCCCCTCGCCTCTCACCATCGGGGTGCTTTATTTCGGTGAGTCCCCTTGCCTCTCACTATTCAATTACAATAAATGCTCGAAATGATGACCTTCCATTTCGATGCATTTATTAACTCGACCTTGGAATGCTTGTACACATTATTATATTAATAGCAAATAACGCCAGATACACTTTCTACATGTGTACAAGCATTCCAAGGTCGAGTTAATAAATGCATCGAAATGAAAGGTCATCATTTCGAGCATTTATTGTAATTGAATAGTGAGAGGCGAGGGGACTCACCGAAATAAAGCACCCCGATGGTGAGAGGCGAGGGGACTCATCGAAATAAAGCACCCCGATGGTGAAAGGCGAGGGGACTCACCGAAATAAAGCACCCCGATGGTGAGAGGCGATGGGACTCACCGAAATAAAGCACCCCGATGGTGAGAGGCGAGAGGACTCACCGAAATAAAGCACCCCGATGGTGAGAGGCGAGGGGACTCACCGAAATAAATTCACCCCGATGGTGAGAGAAAATGGCAAAAACTAATTTTTACTGATTACATCTATCACGATTCGAAAAAATGTCTCGGACAAAACTTACGTATTTTTTTCCAAGGAATCCGAATCTGCAATAAAAAATGGGTGTTCCCATTTAAAATTTCAAAGTTGACACCCGCCCCACCCCTAAGGGGCGGTGGGGGTGGGTTAATTTTTACACAGGCAGACGTCCCCCTTGATAATGTTAAAAGTTTATTTGGGACATTTTTTCGTACAATGCTTATTTTTCGAAATATTTAGTTGTCTCAAGTTAAATGGGACACCCTGTAGATTGTATTCTGGCAACGTAACATTAGAAGATTCATCTCGTACTAATTCAATACTTATTTTTTCATGTAATTTATTTTGATTTTGTTTCGTCAGCTCTTCAGTATTTACAATTTTAGAAAGTGTGTGAAAATTCTTTGTGGTTTCAATGGTACATTTAGATTTATCAGTTTCATCACGAGAAACAGTATCCTTGTCAGCATTATTATTCACTGAAAATAAAGATTTTTCTGTAATTAACTGAATCATTAGTTTTTTTCATTTTTTATAATATAAACAAAAATTACAATTTTTACCATTGTCTTTATTCAATTGCACGACTGGTATTTTCAAACTTAGGTTATCACTTGTATTTGTACATTGTAGATTGTTGTCTAACACAAGATTAAAGATAATTTTATTTTGCAATTCAGCATTAGCATTTTTATCTGACGTATCGATTTGTTTCATAAAATTATCAGTATGTATAGCTTCTATACTGGTAGGAAGTGTTTGAGAACTATTTGTTGTTTCAATAATAGATTCAGATTTATTATTTAAATTATGAGCGATGCATGGCTCAACATTATCAACGATTATAAAACAATAAATTATGATCATTTGTAAAATATTAAAAAGTTTAATAAAATATTAAAATATTATGTAATTTCTAAAATATTTTATAATATAAGCAAAAATTATGTTTCTTATCTTTATTTAATTGCGTAACTGGTATATCTAGATTGCATTCTGGCAATGTGATATTAGAAGTAAATTTATTTTGTACTAATTTGGTACTTATTTTTTTATCTAACTTATTTTGATTTTGTGTCGTCAGCTCTTCAGTATTTACAACTTTAGAAAGTGTTTGAAAATTCTTTGTGGTTTTAATGATACATTCAGATTCATCAGTTCCATCATGAGAGAAACAGTATTCTTGTACCCTAATAAAACCCAATACCCTAATAAAATTTTAAAATATTATGTAACTTGTAAAATATTTTATAATATAAGCAAAAATTATGTTTCTTACCTTTATTTAATTGCATAATTGGTATATTTGAACTGCATTCTGGCAATATGACATTAGAAGCAGATTTATTTTGTACTAATTCAGTACTTATCTTTTCATTGAACTTATTTTGATTTTGTTTCGTCGACTCTTTAGTATTTATAACTTTAGAAAGTGTTTCAAAATCCTTTGTGGTTTCATTAATACATTCAGATTTATCAGTACCATTACAAGGAACAGTATCGTTGTCGACATTATTATTGACTGTAAAATAAAGATTCTTCTGTAATTAACTGAAACATATTACAGTTTCTTTTCATTTTTTTTAATATAAACAAAAATTATAATTCATACCATTGTCTTTATTCAATTGCACAACTGGTATTTTCAAAGTTAGGTTATCACTTGTATTTGTACATTGTAGATTGTTGTCTAACACAACATTAGAGATCATTTCATTTTGCACTTCAGTATTAGCATTTTTATCTGACGTATCAGTTTGTTTCATAAAATAATCAGTATGTATAGTTTCTATACTGGTAGGAAGTGTTTGAAAATTATTTATTTGGACAACAGATTCAGATTCGTTACTAATATTACGATTGCAAAGTGTATCAATATTATCACCGACTGTAAAAAATGAATTATAACCAATTGTAAAACATTTTGTATCATAATGTATATAAGCAAGAATTAAATTCTTACCTTCACTCAATTGCATATAACTGATACGTATGGATTGCATGATGGCAGTGTAATATTAGAAGTTGATTTATTTCCTAATTCAATATTGATATTTTTATCACACATTATTTTGTTTTGTCAACTCTTCAATATTTATAATTTCAGCAGAAAGTGTTTGAAAATAATTTGTAATAATACAGTCAAATCCATCAATGGAGTTATGGACAACAGTATGTATCAAGGTTAAAAATAAAAAATTATTAACAATTAATTATTTTAACATGCTACAGTCTTTTAATATATATTTTTTATAATATATAATATAAAAATTATAATACTTACCAATGTCTTTGTGCAATTGTAAGACTGGTATTTTTAAATTTAAATTTTCAGCTATTGCTTCAAGCATTTTATGATTATCTATATCAAAACATTTTTATATTTATTAGTACATTATAAATATAATTTGGTTATAACTATCAGAAAAATGCATCTATCAATGTTAATAAAATTGATAAAAATGTAATCTTACGTACAGAATAAATCTATAAAAAAAATTATTAAGGTTTCCATAACGAATTTGTTGTAGTGTTTATAAATTATAAAAATAGAATATAATTATTACATTAAGTTAGAATATAATTACAAATTAAAGAATTTCTTTAAAGCAACATGTTTATCTTTATAATCATAAACATTTTAAAAAATTATAGAATTTAAACAATATTTTACGTTTATAATAAAATACTTACCATTCAAGACTATTAATTTTTTCCTTCTTCGTGTATTACGAATGTAAACAGAATACTTCTTCTGATATTTATATAGGCCATACATGTTAAATTATCACTAAAGCGATATATCATTAGTAGTTTCAAATATAACCTTTATTAATGCAATACACACAATTGCAAAACTATTACGCTATCTAAGATTTGGACACACATTATTAAAATATATATCACGTACTGGCTATGTTTAATAGCATATAAAGCACTTCGTAAACGTTAATAAGATGCAAATTTGTGGAACAAGTCTTTGCGTGCGCGGGAAACGTTTCTTACTTTCCATTAAGGGCCTGAGCAGAATGGCTGACTTATAACCTTAAAACACTGTTTTATGCCCTAAGTCTTTGTCTTAGGTAACGCACAATACTGTGTTAATGTTTCCTGTCTTGTGTAGTATACGCGACGTTTTAAGGAATAAACGTAAAACGTATGTATATGTATAAACACAAATAACAATTCTATTATACAATTAATAATGAATATTTTATAAATAGTTATGACATAATACATTTTAAACTTATAAATATGTAATAATAATATTTCATATTCGAAATATATTTCAATAACTGTGAATATAACCTAACTTTTTTGTTCAAAGAAATTTATCTAATGTACTTATAAATAAAATGTTCTATTAAATTAAATATTATTTGATTTAATAGTATTATATATGTTTAAAAATCTTGTTAATTATTTTTGTATAACATTTAACAAAATCTATATGTATGTATACATATATTATCTAATGTTATCTATATCCTTTTATTAATTCCTTTTAGTTAAAATGGAAGATCATCACTATTGTGAACCTAATAATACATATTATACAGACAATAAAGTGTCAAATGAAAATGAAAATAATATTTCTATAGAAGAAAAAGATGGTGATGCTTTTCTAATTGAATTATATAGAGAACGTCCATTTCTGTACAATAAAGGACACAAAGATTTTAAAAATATAATAATTAAAGATAATGCTTGGAAAGAAATTTCTAAAATAATGCAAAATAAAAATTATGGTAAATATCAAATATTTTTTATTAATATTTCTTATTATGTCTTATTACTAATATATTATGCTAATTATAATGATAAAATCTCAACATTTTTACAGGCAACTTTTATACACCTGATTATTGTCAAACTAGATGCACATCTCTTAGAAATCAATATAATCGTGAGAAACGAATAATAGATAGTCAATATAAGAGTGGAAGTGGTGCTTCAACTCATAAACCCTTCACATTTTATACGCAATTATCTTTTCTTGACAATTATATCAAGAGACGAAGGTTTATAATGATAATTGCTTGAAAATCCACATTTTAATTGTATAATATGTATATATACTTATATATTCTTATATTTTCAGAACATGCAGTAATATAAAAGCAAATAAAACTTCAACATCTACATCATCTTTAGAACTATCAACAGAAATTCCACAATCTAGTTCGAATGAAGTATTTGATACCAAAGAAAAATCAAGTCATTCTATGCACGAAACAGAAGATAATAATTTTAATGGTGAAAATAAAGAAAATATTTTAGAAGATACTCTTGAAGCACATGTAACACATAAACGCAACATTGACAAAGATTCACAATTATATGTATTACATACAAAACCTAAATCTAAAAAAAGTAAAGTCGATGAAACAAAGGAATTAGAAAATATATTTACATCGGTTAGCCAGAAAATCATCAATGTTTTAGATAACAAACGTGAAAACAATAATGAAGATGAAGCATTTACACAATTTATTGTTGCTCACTTGACAAATCTTCCACAATCTGAGAAAAATATAAGAAAGAAAATGATAACAGATGCTTTATTTTCTCCAATATAAAGCAAATGTAATATTTTTTGTTTTTAATGATTTTTATTTTTTTCATAAATTATTTTTATTTTTTATTAGTAAAGTATTTTTTATTACAATATGTGATACATTACTATATGTGATATTATAAAAAAGACTGTTTCTTTTAAGTAAAATTTTAAGTTTAAAATAATATTTTCAGTTACATTGTTTTTTAAATCTAATTTAATTTTATTATTTAATACGCAAAGCAATATTTTTGTTTAAGATTTTTTATTTATGTGATAGGTGATCTTAGATAGATGGATAGATATGTGATAGATGATCTGATATGTGATCTTCAATTATTATATTAACTATACTATACTATATATGTGATATTATTAAAACTGTTACATGTGATATAAGATCTTAAAAGGTAATTTAAGAAAAATAATGTTTTTAATATATGTACTATTTTGTTTTTTTAAAAGTGAGACGTTATGATTTTATTATTTTTATTTACTTATTAATTTGTATGTGCATTAATAGTTCTAAAGCACTTTCCTTATGAACTATGTTTATTATTTAATTGCTTCATTTGTATACATTTGTAATGTATATCTTGCTAATTATATAATTATTATATAAAAAAATTCGATTTGTGGTATTTGTTGTTATTTACATAGATCTTTATTACTAGATACACATCAACTTAGATCAACTTTAAAGCTTTATTGTAAAATTGTAACAATATAGTTGAAACATTATGCCGTATGACTAAAGACAAATAATAAAAACAAAATATATAAATGACTTTCATTAATAAATAAAAAAATAATTATTAAATATAAGTAATACTATGCGCATTAATATTTTGCTTGTAATGACAATTCACTATTAAGAAAACTTTTCTTAATTGCTGCAATGTATAAACTTTCAGAAAATAATGTTAATTAGGTTGTAGAAATTAATATTAATTGATCTAGCAGTAAGGAGATAATCGGTATATAAACTTTACATATAACAATATGCAAGATCGGTACGGCATTATTGTCAAATTCTAATTATATATAACACAAGAACTATATAAAGATTCCAACTTTATCTTATTCATTTTTTTACTTAAGTAGAGCTCAGTTTAGAAATTATGTTGTCAAAAAGCTACTAAAAAATATCAAGCTATATAATTCTTGAACACATTTTTTTTTATACTAACATTTTATTAGAAAAAATAAGATTAAATAAATAACCGAAAATTAAATGTATGTGTATAGAAACCATTATTTTTATATTATTAAATATTTTCACCATATGTACCTCTTCGCACGTAATCGTATTGCCACGGTACTTCTCCTTCAGGTGATATGAAATATTTACACAATGTGTCTCTTTGTTTCGAAGCAGAAGATACGGGTTCATTATAACATAGGTTTTCCGAAAAAGACAACCACTGCATATCCTTTATAAATAAAAATAGTATGGTTAATTAAATTTAAAAATATACAGTAATTAATATTTTAATAACAATATTATATACACATAATGTATCTGCATTTATTTAATTATTTTATTATATTAATTATTAATATTAAAATTTTTTTAATTTATCAAAAGTTTAAACACAAAATTAAGTTATATATATATATATATATATATAACTTAATTTATATATATATATATATATATATATATATATATATATATATATATATTATCTGCAGAATAAAAATATTTTAATGTTTATTTTACCTGATTATTTCTATCGTTTTCAAGAAATTCAGTTGTGCTGTATAACTTTAGTTTACAGCGTTCTTCTTCAACCATTACAAAATTATGTAAGCAGAGCGATGCTGTTGTTATCAAATCGGCTGTTTTTGGCAGCATACAAATGGATTGTCGAAATATTCTCCATCTATTAGAAAATATTCCAAAGGCGCTTTCGACTGTTCGCCTAGCTCGAGAAAATCTATAATTGCATATTTTTTGTTCTTCATTTAAATTTCTTCCGGTATATGGCTTCATAATTCTCGTATTTAATGCAAAAGCATCGTCTGCCAATAAAAAAGTTGGTGTACAGATTTGACTTCCAGGTAATTTGAATGTTTCCTTTGGTAGATTTAAGTTTTCATTTTTTAAATTTTCCCCAATTAATGAATCGTTAAAAATTCCGCCATCGCTGTTACCACCGTATGCACCAACATCAACTAACGTAAATCTATATACGTGGTTTGCCACTGCCATCAAAACAATACTATAATATTTTTTGTAATTATAAAAAAGACTTCCCGAATTAGGGGGACATTGCAAGGTAATGTGTTTTCCGTCTACTGCCCCTATGCAATTTGGCACATTCCACCTCTTCCAAAATCCTTCAGCATACGACTTCCATTCTTCTTCATTTGGTTGTGATAGATACAGTGGTTGTAATACATTTATTAATATCTGACATACTTCTTTAATTAACATACGCATTGTTGATTCACCAATTCGAAATGATAGAGCGATAGACAAAGGAAGATCTCCAGTGGCAAGATATCTGAAATACATTTTTATTAAAATATCTATGTTATTAATATTATTTATTATAAAAAGATTATTAATTTTCCATTTCTCTCTCTCTCTCTCTCATTCTCTATTAAAGCATGTTTCGAGTAATAATTATTTTAGGCAATTTTTGTATATCTGACAAAAATAAAATACTATTAATACTATTTAATATATTATTCAACATTTATATTTAGTCTAGAATACCTGTTTTAGTCTATCAGAATCTGTCTTTGTTACTTTAATAAAATTTCTTTTTTATTGTTATTTCTACAAGATATAATTATTTTGAAAAAAAAATAATAAAAAAAAGAATTACTTATAATTACCTTAATACTATTATCAATCTCTGTTCTGCAGGAAATGCTCGATAGCTATTTTTTGTTAAATGAGGTTCAGTTAATTGAAGTAATTTGTTAAATAAACATAAATTCATTCTCGTATAACAAAAAAATAAATATGTATCATTTTTTAATTCTTGGTAAAGTGTCTCATAATCTCCGTATTTGTATCTCAGTTGGTTTATTGGTCGCACGTACCATCTTCTTTTATACCATCTAATTTGTTTTTTTTTTCGTTTTAATAATTTATACAAAAGCATCCATTGTAAAACAAGCAATAAAAATTGCTTATTTCTATACATCATTTTAATATACCTGAAATTAAAATTGTTTTCTGTAAAATAAATTAAATTAAATATTATACAAATTTAATAATTAACAAGATTTTTAAACATATATAATACTATTAAATCAAATAATATTTAATTTAATAGAACATTTTATTTATAAGTACATTAGATAAATTTCTTTGAACAAAAAAGTTAGGTTATATTCACAGTTATTGAAATATATTTCGAATATGAAATATTATTATTACATATTTATAAGTTTAAAATGTATTATGTCATAACTATTTATAAAATATTCATTATTAATTGTATAATAGAATTGTTATTTGTGTTTATACATATACATACGTTTTACGTTTATTCCTTAAAACGTCGCGTATACTACACAAGACAGGAAACATTAACACAGTATTGTGCGTTACCTAAGACAAAGACTTAGGGCATAAAACAGTGTTTTAAGGTTATAAGTCAGCCATTCTGCTCAGGCCCTAAATACATAGAGATATAAGAATAAAGTGCGTGAACGAGCTGAAACAGCGAGAAAGGAATAGAGAGAGCGCTGCCATATAGAGTATGTAGCGCTCGTGCACGTGCATATGGTATATATATTTAGCGGGAAAGAGATTCCTGCTCATGCGTCTTGGATGCAGGTAGATATATAATAACTATTTGGAAACCACTGCTGAGGCGTCTCGGATCGATAAGTACAATATGTGATGTGAGTATATTTTTTATATGTATAAAAAATACTTTATTTCTTCTTTGGTAACAGACAGTATCACAGTATTAAAGGCAGACAAAAGAGAGTGTGTTCGGTGAAGAAGAACTTAGCTTACTTAATATCTAGATAGGAACCATCTTTGGCTAGTGCGCATGTGCGCGGTATAAAGTTACTAGAGAGATGCCATAAGTACACTGTCTTTATCAGTCCTTGTTCAGCGGCGCATGCGCCATAGGCCCGTTTCTGCCAACGTCGATTAAATTAAACCTCCGGTTAAATTATATGTTTCTCTCTTTTTTAAAACTTATTTGAAAAGAGACAAAGACATAGTTTAACCGGAGGTTTAATTATTGTTATGAAAAAAACATGTTTAGATATCTTTGGAAATATTTTGTTAATGTATATATGTATATATGACCTTTTTCTTTAAAAACTTTTAAAATTACATATTTAGTTACATATTTAATTACATTTTAAATTACATGTTACATATTTATAATTGTATTTTAATTATACTTTACATTATACTTATGCGTGTTAACAAGATCAGTCATATATTTGTTAGTCATTTATTTTTTGTTTTGCATATAAATATATATGTATAACATTATTTTTTTAATTTAAAAAATTTAATACTTTCTTAAAAATATTTAGTGATACAAAATAGTAGAAATACAAAAGAACATATTTAAGGTTTTAAGTTTATGAATATAACATATTTTATAATACTGTATACATAGTAACTACATGTAGGTACATACATTAAGAAAATATTTCCAAAGATATCTATACATGTTTTATTCATATCTATACATTTAATATTAAAAAGTATTTATATAAATTGTAGATAAAACTATTCAACATAAAGGTTGTATCAAGGACCTTCTATATAAAACAGGTTGATAGGCATTATTTAAGACCGTCTTGAAAACTCTCATTACGAGGACAAAACTTTCAGGACTGAACCGAAAACTGCCAAAAGTCCTGGAAACTGCCAATTTATCATTGAAAGTGGACCGAAAACTGCCGTATATATATATATATATATATATATATATATAGGTTTGATTCAATGTAGAACATTTCATAGAATTGTGTAAATTCCTTGGTATCTAAAATAATATTTAACAAATTAAGAAAAAAAAGAAATTTACATTTTATCTAAATGTTACAATAAAATATAATATATATAATATATATATATATATAATATTTTAAATACAAAAAGTGATAAATAAAAGTCCAACTTATCGAGCAATTATTAGAGTTGTTCAGTCAAATAAAATTTATTTCATGTATAAACTATTAAGCTACAATCATTCAATATTAAAACTTACGCAAAAATTACAGTCATTCTAAAATAATAAAATATTCTAACTGGATATGATTGATTCTAACTGTATAGTTTTCCTTATGGATTTTAGGTAATCCGTACGCTTTTGGAAGAAGAGAATCACTACAACGTAATTTATAATATTTATTTTTTGAGATATAATTCACGGTGGAACAAGAGGTTAATCGTAGCTTGAATTTCTTAGATTTATCACTTAAAATAATTAATTACACAATATACATTGACTGGTATCAAAGAGAAACCTTCTCAGGAAGGACTTTATTATTTTATTCAAACCACCCATTATGCCATAAAATTGGATTAATATATAACCTTGTGGACAGATGTATGTTGTTATCACACCCACAATTTTTTAATAAAATTTGGAGTTAATCATTAATATACTCATAAGCAATGGTTACCCTCTTGATCTGATCTTTAACAAAATTAATCATTGGATAGAATCACATCATATCTAAAAAAGCGTTATAAAAAGACAAGCTAACATAGAAGGAACAGAAATGATAGAAAAGGACTCAGTTAATAAAAAATTCCTTGTCATTTCGTATATAAATAAGATCTCAGAAATGATTGTTTCCTCGGTAAAAAATACAGAGAGTGTATTGTAGGATATAGATGTCTCAACAAACTTGATAATATTATTAAAGCACAGAAAGATAAAACTAAACATCTATGCAATTCGAATGTGGTTTATAAGATCAATTGCAATAATTGTAATGCATCTTATGTAGGCCAAATGAAGAGGCAATTGCAGACGAGACTAAAAGAACATAAAAATAATATCAGGTTGGACTCAACGAAATATTCAGTAATTTCTGAACACATAAAAAATGAACACCATACATTTAATTGGGATAACGTAAAAATTCTGGACAACAAAAATAATTATTATAAAAGACTCATTTCTGAGATGCTACATATTAAAGAACAAAAAAATGGACTAAATTTAAACAAAGATACTGAGTTACTCAGCGAGTCGTATTTTGATATTTTGGATAAATTAGCGAACAATAAATAATAATAAGACAAATAGGACATTAACGGTTTAAACATAGATATTAGATCATATATAAACACGCACATTCTTCGATTAAGTAGAGTTTGAAATAAGGTGTCTTTTTATATTGTTGGTCTTGTCTTGTGTCATCTTCAATAACTTTTTCAAAAAACGTGGTTAAAATTGTCAAGAAGGACGATGTCAAGTAAGCATATTGCTAATTGTTGACGATATATATTTTAATTTTGACATACGTTAATCGTTAATTTTTTATTAATTGCAGCGCCTACGGAACGTTTTAATTTCTCGCATATTAACGATGAAACTTTGATTCAAATCAAAGATCATATCGAGGCGAACATTTGTTGGACATGACGGATTGAAACACGCGTTAACTGCTTATAAACTCTCGACTTGAAGAACTAACATTAATTTTCGATATTATGTAAATTTTTTTATGATTTTGTATTTTTAATAATTATATTGAAGAAAACCGCGTGCGGTTGAAACATTTATTTTATTATTTTAGAATGACTGTAATTTTTGCGTAAATTTTAGTATTGAATGATTGTAGCTTAATAGTTTATACATGAAATAAATTTTATTTGACTGAACAACTCTAATAATTGCTCGATAAGTTGGCCTTTATTTATCACTTTTTGTATTTACAATATACGAGCGAAACTTTGTATCAATTGATATTATATTTTATTGTAACATTTAGACAAAATGTAAATTTCTTTTTTTTCTTAATTTGTTAAATATTATTTTAGATACCAAGGAATTTACACAATTCTATGAAATGTTCTACATTGAATCAAACTTACAATATAAAAGTAGTAGGTATAAAAAAGTATGAGTGTGATTTAATTAATTCTTTAATTAATTTAACACTTAAATTAATTCAACAACAATTCTTTAGTTAATGAGTTAATTAATGTATTTTTCGACATGAAGTTTTGTCTGTTACTTTTATATAAAAAAAAATTATTTATGTCAAAATTTTTACATAATTATATATATTTTAGTTAATTTTTATATACATTTATTTATATTAATTATATATTATATATTAATTTATTAATGCTTTTTATTTTTTTTAAATGTATATTTTTAATTTTTATTCTTTAATATTTATTATATTTCAATTAAAATCTTTGCATTTTTATAGAAATTATTTAAAAATAATGGTTCATTAAATTAATCAAATAACTTTAGAAAGGGAATCAGCCGCACTGGCTTATCGTAGAATAAAAGAAAAACACACTTTTGATGTTTTAGCAAAAGTAAAATTAATTCCGTATTTTTTAAATACCACATACAAAATAAAATATATTGTACAACAACAGATAATAGTTCAAATTTCGTTAAAACATTTCGGCAAATTAAAATTTTATAATCTTATACATATTTACAATTTTTATATATACATAATTATGATTATGATTATATTATACAGGGTGGACCATTTTAATCAATCCACGCAAATATTATAAAGTAAGCAATATAATAAAATATGTTTTATACAAAAGTTGCATGGTTCAGAAGGGACACCTGACGGTGACCTTGGTTTTGACCTTGATATCAAATTTGAAGGTCATTTGACAGTCACCTTGATTTTTTTTAAATAAAATCACCAATTTTTCATATTATATTCTTGTAGCTGATGTCGAGATCTTTCCAAAATACTATAATAAAACATTTTTCTATTAAATACTTTTCGAGTTATAAAAGTTTAAAATTAACAATTTTTTAACATAAAATGATTTTAAAAAATATGTTGCAAATTACAAACATCCTTTTTAAAGCAACTATGTTTTCTTTACATGGATTAATTGGTTTCATTATTCCGTGCATAAAAATATTAAGGTATGATTACCGAAAACTAAATATTTTGCAAGATATTTTACATTTTATGTCAAAAAATTGTTTATTTCAAACCTTTATAACTCAAAAAGTACTTAATGAAAAGATGTTTTATTATAGTGTTTTGGAAAGATCTCGACATCAGCTACAAAATAAAAATAATATGAAAAATTGGTAGTTTTATTTAAGAAAATCAAGTTAAATTTTAAATGACCTTCAAATTTGACATCAAGGTCAAAGCCAAGATTACCGTCAGGTGTCCTCCTCTGAACTTTTGTATAAAACATATTTTTCTATTTTGCTCACTTTATAAGATATTTGCATGGATTTATTAAAATGGTCTACCCTGTATACATATATATATATATATATAATTTTTATATAATTTTTATATACATAATTAAATTTAAAAGCGCATTTAATTTTTCTATAAATACAATTTTTCAAATTTGTTAGAGAATTTGAAAAAGAAGAAAATGAGAAGAAGGAAACTAACATAGAATTCTATAATTTAAGTGATTTATTAATTACAGATGAAATAAGACATTTTGACGCAGAAGATTTCATTACTCTGCCGCCACA